AAAGTTTTTATATATTTCTAGTTTTTTATATATAAAATAGTAAAAAAGTAATTTATTTTCCCTTTTAGTTTTYGAGATTCAAATTTTTACTTTTAATATAGCCAAAAATTGTGCTTAGATCAATAGCCAATTAAAAAAATCAAAATTGAACTGACAAATATAACCAAAGGCTCATTTTAAGTGATTTTTATTATTAAACCAGAAGAATCCATGAAACAAATCTACATTAAAYTAATAAAATAATAGAAAAATCCTAATAACCCATTGGAAGGAGAAATGGTTTCTTTAAAGTAAAGAAATTTGGTTCATCCCATGTATTGGTGGGCAAATTTGAGATCCGATATTAATTTGGGTCAAAGTTATGGTTCATATTTAGGTTGGCCCTTAACCTATCTCAATTCATCCAATTAGATAGAAACAAAAGGGGTTAAAAGAGATTTAAGGGGAAAAGAATGATTTAATGGGGAGGGGAGATGATACAACCATTGCCTATTAGGGTGAGAGAGAGAGAGAGAGAGTGAGAGAATAATGGTGTTATTAGATATTATATAAGGAATTTATGAGAGACAATGAAGACCCATCAGGATTTTAATTTTGCCTTGTTACATATTTTAGTAATTTCATTTAAAAATAAATATACACATGTGCTAAAAAGGAGAGTAAGGGGAGGCACATGTGAGCTCTTGGGTGAGAGGACTCCTCACCTCCTCTCTTTCCATTAGTAACAAGCAATATAGATATAGAATTAAAAAAAAAATTAATTTCAAAATGGGGTGGAGAGATGCTACAAACATTGAATATTAAGGTGAGAGATAGAGAGAGATAGAGAATAATGGTCTTATTAGAGAGTAAATATGAAATTTATGAGAGACAATGAAGACCTTGATTTTAATTTTTCCTTATTACATTTTTAATGATTCAATTTAAAAAATAAATATACACGTGTGAGAAAGGAGAATAAGAGGAGGCACATGTGATCTTGAGAGGACTCCTCACTTCCCCTCTTTCCTCTTTCTATTATATATAGATACTAGCGGTGACCCATGCGATGCATGGAATGCTTTATAAAAAGGTTGGCTTACCTGATCATTTATGAGAAGTACATAATTCAACTGCCTAGCATGAGAGCCAACTAATGGTGGCTTAGCTAATAGATTCTTTGACTAGATGTAGCAAAGACATGGGATCAAATTATGGAACCATTAAGGTTGGGAGTTTAACGGTTTGGGTAATGGGCTGCCCCCATGGTTGTATAGCCTTATAAAGCCAAAAAAATGTGCTTAATATGAGATTAATAACTAAGCTAAAAGAACAATTTCAAAATTAAACTAACAAAGATAAACAAAGGCTTATTATGTTAAGTGACTTCTTACTGCAATTCATTATTGAAACAAAAGAATCCATGAAACAAATCTACATTAAATTAATAAAAAAACTAGAGAAAACCTAATAAACCATGGAAATGAGATGGTTTCTTTAGACTTTTATATAAGAAGAAAATTGGTTCACCCCATTTATGAGTGGGCAAATTTGGGTTTTGACATTAGTTTGGGTCCAAGTTAGGGTTCATGTTTTGGTTGACCCTTAATCTAACCCAATCCATTTAATTTACACCCCTACTTTATTGGAGAGAGGCAAAAGGAATTAAAATAGATTTAAGAGTAAAAGAGGGATTGAATGGAGAAGGAGATGTTACAAACTTTGACCATTAAGGCTATGTTTGGTTTGAAGGAAAAGGTAGGTAAAGGAAGGGAAAAGTAGAGAATTTTTTACAAATCTTGTATAGGTTTCCTTGTCTTTCCCTTCCTTTCCCTACCTTTTCCTTCAAAACAAACACAGTCTTAAGGTTACAGAGAGAGAGAGGAGTGGTCTTATAGAGACTAAGGGCCCATTTGGCGTGTCTTTTTGAGAAGATTTTCTTGTAGCTCTGATAATCAAAAGACACATTGAGCTTTTTGTTAAACAGTGTATGCCCTTAGCTCCAATCAGCATGATGTACATTATGACATTAATTGCAAATGAATAAAGTACATATTTGATTAATGTTATTATAGTGTGTTTTCGTGTAATACTCTTAAACTAGACAAATATGAGACTCGCGTTAGTTTAGAATCTTCACAACCGTTGGATAGATTTAGAAAGATTTATCCTACCAAGGCTGACATTAATATACCCCCAAGTTGGTTGCGGTGGCTTGTCTCAGCTGCCAGGGTGAGACCTGAGTTACATGCAGTGTAGGTTTTCTTGAAACCTTGAACCGGACCAAAATTCCAATATTGCCCTGGACCTTGGAGATAGATGGGCAAAACTGGAATGTTACACCTAACCCCTAGACTCGATTATGATACTACACTAGATGTCGGATTGGGTTGTCTTTGATATGTCAATCAGTGAGATCCTTAGAGGGGGTCAAAACCTGGGTATGTTGGGATAGTCCAAGAATTCATCTGAGTGGGTGATCATAGTGACAAGATCAGCCCCTTTGTCGGACAAAGTGAATGATCGGGGATGCACTCTCTCTCATGGAAACCTAAATTGTTGGCAGTTGATTTCAACCATTGAAATTTGTTTTGAAAAATATATATAGAGATATACATATACATATTATGGTTTCAAAATGTTTGCAAAAGATTTTAATTCCCGGGATCCATGTGAGTAGAGAGTGCAGCACTGCACCTTGCAACCGAGGGAAAGGTCCTCTCTTATCGGGCAGTGTTTGATCATTATGGGCTGAGAGGTTAAGTGTAAGACCATTGAGGATTATACCTGATGGGCTAATCTTACATCTGTCCACAGTCCTTGGGCCTTCGTAAGATGGCTGGCCCAAGGACCATTTAGTGTAAATGTTGGGCCCATTTAAGAGCCCACTGTGATGGACCCAGGGGTTCAATGCATTCAGCAGTGAATTCGGCTAGGCCTTGTAACAGAGGCTAGGCTGAATCCATGTGGCTGATGTGTAGATCAATGATAGGGTCCCACGCCATTCAAAGAGAGCCAAGATAGCCAACATTAAAGAGGAAGTGAGCCTAAAAGCTTAATGGGCCTAAAAACCCATTTCAAACTGGGTTAATTAAATTAATTAAATAGGGGCGGATCTGTGATATGGATCAGCAGATAAGATAAGGGATTATCCTTATCCTCTTAAAGAGTCCAGATCCAAATAAAGATTTGGATCAAAGGAACTCCTAATTTGATTAGGAAGGTTGATCTTTATCTGTAGATAAGATAAGGGATTATCCTATCATTTAAAGAGTCCAGATGCAAATAAAAGATTTGGATTAGGAAACTCCTAATCGGATTAAGAAATTTTCTCTTTAAGGCTATAAATAAGAGAGCAGGGCGAACCTCCAAAGACACATTCGCTGAACATAGAGAGAAGACAACACAGTTAGACTGCTCTTGCCTTCTGCTCTATTTCTTCCTGCTCTTGCCCCCCCACCTTGTTCGATCTCCAGTTCTTGGATAGGATCAAGATTGGATCATGATATTGTTTCTTGCCAGAAGAAACAATCTAGAAGTTGTGCTCACTGTCCTATTCGATTCTTGCTGAAGAATCACTAGTTCTTGGTGAAGAACTACCTGGTGATCCTGCCTCACCTTAAGCTGTGTCATCTTCAGTGGAGGGAGGATTTGGTACTCTCTTTGCGCGTGAACACCTATGTTGTGAGGAGCATTCTTGCATGGATTCCGTATCAGGTATATCCCTCCCTCATTTTGGTTTTAGATTTGGTCCGGTTTGGTTAAAAGAATGAACCTTGAAAATGCAATTTTCTAAATTGGGAACAGGATTCCCAGATGGAAGTAAAGAAATTTTTTAAATTTTACCCAACCTTCTTGCCGGGTTCGGCCATCCATATGATGGATCTCCCATCCCTTCAGTGGTACGGAGCCAGTTCAAGTCTTGAACCAAATTAAAACAGATCTGAATCTGCGCAAATGGGCAGAAGGCATTCTACCCAATTTGTGCAGTTAGCATTTTTCTAGGAATTGGTTCTCAGATTATGGATAGATGATCAGGAAAATAAATCTTTATTTTTCTTTGAAATTTATAGAATTGTTCTGTGAATTTTTCTTGAATTTTTGGGCTGCACATGTGGTGGAGATTGAATCATTATGGTGCCAAGATTGGCACACCCTGCGATTTTTATTCTATTCAATTTTGGTCTATAAATATATTTTTTTAAGACAAATTGTATAGGATTTTGATGTGATGTAATAATAAAAAAATTAGGTTTCTCTATTCTAATTCCATCTGGAGATCGCTGGAGCGCGCAACAGAGAAGAAGAAATTTTCGCAAAAACAAGTTCTACGATCTGCGATTTTGTAAATATTGATTCTGCAATTTGCGATTAACTGTTCTTTGTAGGTTTGTAGGATATCTAAGAAAATCACAGTGCAGCCCTCTGATTTTAGTTTCTTGATAATTTGATTCTTGAATTAATTTATTTTTAGATCATTATTCTTGAATTAAATCTTGAACTGGACACCAAAACTTGGGCCGATTTACACCAGATTTGATCCAAACTGGTTAGACTGAATTGTTGGTTCGATGGGGTTCGCTTTTCTAACCCAAATTCGACTTAGGCCAGAGAGTTGATAGCCCACTTCAATCTTTAATTCGGCCCACCTCTGTAAAACCTAATTTTAATATGATAATGACTGAATCAGCTCTAAATTAACTACATGGGCCGAACTACTTTTTGTAGTACAACCCATGTACCT